ATCATGGTGGAAAAACTGCTCTTCATATCCTCCAGGGAAACGTCAATGGCGCCTCCTACAGGCATCAATTGGAGACGATATTTCTGTCATGTGCTAGGACAAGTTTTGACAATAACTTTGTGATCCAGGATGACAATGCTGCTGCCCACAGTGTGCGTATTGTACAGAATTATCTAGACCAGGAGAACGATACAAGATTGCCATGGCCAGCAAAGTCTCCATATTATAATCCCACTGAGAACCATTGGAGCAGAACTGAGCCCATACAGTGTTGGCCAAAATGTTTGCATATTTTGTAACAAATAAGATCATTATTATTAAGATGGAATACAAATACACTTAGTACTGTCAAACTAAGAAATGCAAGTTATATAAAACATTTACATATGTAATTTGTATTACAGGACAAGTTCTATGGACATCATGAACGATTTATTAGAACAGCAAAAACTTTTATCAGACACCTGTAGAAAGATGTGTAACTGAGCATTTCACCTATCACAAAAAACCTTACCAAAACATATATAATGACAAAACGTAACACCAAGTTATTATAAATGCCATCTGTAACCTTATATCAGTTCATATAATAAACATTTAGTACTTGGTTGGACCTCCTCGTACTCCGTAAGGTGAGGTAGCATGCTGTCGATGAGGTTATTGATATAATCAACCATGCTTTCATCCCAACTTGTCACTAGAAGGCGCTAAAACTCAGGTAAAGTAACTGGTTTAGGGTCGAAGTTATCAATTATGTAAGCTTATCAAAAGACATTTGAAGTATTTACTTTAACTAGAACAGTTTCACACTAGTAATTGTTTAAAGGAGAACTTAACCTAGATTCTAATAAATCATGTTTCTTGATAGAGTGGATAACACACCGTACTTTCTATCAAAAAGATCCAGTATTGAAGTTTGGCTACTACCAACACAAGTATAGACTTTTTTATTGAAGTTTGGCTACTACCAACACAAGTATAGACTTTTTTATTGAAGTTTGGCTACTACCAACACAAAGTATAGACTTTTTTATTGAAGTTTGGCTACTACCAACACAAGTATAGACTTTTTTATTGAAGTTTGGCTACTACCAACACAAGTATAGACTTTTTTATTGAAGTTTGGCTACTACCAACAGAAGTGTAGACTTTTGTGTTGAAGTTTGGCTACTACCAACACAAGTATAGACTCTTTTATTGAAGTTTGGCTACTACCGACACAAAGTATAGAGCCAAACTTCAATAAAAAAGTCTATACTTGTGTTGGTAGTAGCCAAACTTCAATAAAAAAGTACTAACTTGTGTTGGTAGTAGCCAAACTTCAATAAAAGAGTCTATACTTGTGTTGGTAGTAGCCAAACTTCAACACAAAAAGTCTACACTTCTGTTGGTAGTTGCCAGTTTATTAACAGTTTTGTAACATGGTTTATTACAGATGGTGACATATTTTTTATTAGATTTTGTTAGATGTTTATATATTCATAACTGGATATCAATTAGTAATTCATTTTTATCGTATATTTCAGCTGCTGTTTGCAGAGGAAACCCGAAAAAGTCTACACTTGTGTTGGTAGTAGCCAAACTTCAATAAAAAAGACTACACTTGTGTTGGTAGTAGCCAAACTTCAATAAAAAAGACTACACTTGTGTTGGTAGTAGCCAAACTTCAATAAAAAAGGGTACAGACTGAAGTGTTTTGTAACAGGGTTTATGCCAGTAAAGACATCATCAGGTACAGACTGAAGTGTTTTGTAACAGGGTTTATGATGATGTCTTTATTGGCGAAACCGTGGTCGTGATTAAATGATGTATTTGTAAAACATACAATTGTCTTGTTTTTCCTCAGTTCTATAATTACACTTAGATGATCACATAGATTATTACAAGCCATCGTGATGGTGATTCGAAACATCTCTGAACAACCAAAATGCACATGTCTTTAGTGTTAACAAGATCTTATTGATTCCCTCACAAAATGTCTCCAGACTAGCGATCCTGAACTTGTAATGTGAAGGTTGGAATAGTCACATGCACTGCAATTATTTCAAGTTTGATGTGTAACCTTATGATAAAAAATAACGTTCCCAAAAGAGGAGAGTTTCCTGATTAAGTGACTGAGATCAAATGTAAAACCAACCAGCGATGTTATCAGATATACTGATGTGTCGAATATTCAGTCGAAGAATGCTTTCCTGTAATATCTTTCTATGTACTTCTCTAAAAAAACTTTCAAAAAACGAATCTTCTCAGAGGAAATACCCCTTCAAAGTTTTTACAGTAATAAGTGGGCATTGTTTGTATGTCAGGGTTATATGACGAAATCAGTACCAACTATCTTAATATTTAGGCCTAATGTTCACGCCTTTTGCAAGTTTTTGTTAGATTTTACGGGCCACAGTAAGAAAAAGTCAACCGGCACTAAACCTCAACATATCGCTTAGAATTAGGTATCATTAGTTAATCTTAAAAATGTTTTATATGTCAAATACGCGATTGATAACTATTTCGAGTGAAAAAAAGTGACATTTTACTACGGTACTGTTTGTAAGTATATACGACCCAATGTAGAGAAACAGTGAAATTACAGTAAATGATA